GCAACTTCTACCAAAGTTTTTTTTTTACCATTACTGTTGGCTTTTTTGGTGGTGGTTTTGTTTATAGTCGGTGAGTAGTGTTTGACTCTCTGCGATCCCATGGACGGTAGACGGCCAGGCTGCTCTGCCCATGGGGATTCTCCAGGCAAGAAGACTGGAGCGGGTTGCCATTTTGGCGGTGGTGGTGGTTTTATGCTCAAGGTTCTAGGGCTTGAGCTTTACTGTGACGCCGTCCTGAGACAGCTCTGCGATGGTGGTGAGGATCTGGGAACCATAAAGAAACGAACTTCCCTGGAGGTCGATGGGTGCGTCCTGACCATATCGCTCGGCGGTGAGGGGTCTGTGTAATGCTGAGGACCGGCTCTTTGCTTGATATGGATAAGCTTGAGGCTCAGGTGTGCCCGGAGGGACGTTGTAGGAGAGGTTTTCCCAGGCGGCTCAGTGGTACAGAACCTGCCTGTCAGGCTCAGGAGACCCGCGTTCGATCCCTGGGTCCGGAAGATCCCCTGGAGGAGGTCATGGCGACCCACTCCAGGATCCTTGCCTGGAGAATCCCATGGACAGGGGAGCCTGGCGGGGCTACAGTCCATGGGGTCGCCAAGAGTGGGGCACGCCTGAGCAACTAACACATTCACTTCCACATTTCACTGTTGTGTTTATCCCAGTGGAAACGTTTTAATTTGCCTTTTCATTCATGATTTTTTTTTTCATCTGGAGTTATTAATGTGAACTCTCTGTTGCCATTCTGGTGTTAGTTTTTGTTTTCTCATTCTCTTCCTCTCCCCCCCCCCCCAATTTTAAAAGTTTTTATTGAATTTGTTACAATACTGCTTCTATTTTTTGTTTTCGTTTGTTTTTTGGTCGCAAGGCATATGGGATCTCGGCTCCCCAGGCAGGGATCGAACCTGCACTTCTTGCATTGGAAGGCAAAGTCTGAACCACTGACCAGCGGCAAAATCCTCTGATGTGATTTCTTGGCAGCTTTTTGTATCAGAAAGATGCACACGTCATAAAGAGAATCAGTTCAGTCTCCCCTCCACCCCCTGGCTTCAAAGTCAGTCAATTTACAAGTAGGGTCGTCTGGTTTTTGAAAGTAGGAAAGGACTTGATAAAAGATCATCTGACACCCTCCCAGGCTTTTCTGAGTGTCTTTTCTTCATCAATTTGTTCTATTTATCCCATATTCGTTGGTCTGATGAGTCCTAATTTGCTTGATTAGATCGTAACAGTCAGTCTTTTTCTCGATTAAAGTACTCATTTCCTTGAGATGTTCCTATTTTACTTGTAAATCGAGCGTATTATTCATTCGGTTAGAAGTACACACCTATCATTTTAAAATCTTCTTCCTGTCATAGATTCGTCCCTGTTTGTTAATTTGCATTCCCAACCTTGTCAGATGTATTATCCACAGTCTTCTCTGGGTCCTTGTTTTTTTGTTTTTTGTCTGTCGAATCCTCAGATGCTCAAAGATGTACACAGTGTTCTCCCAGAACCATTTCGGGTTCTGCCCACCTCTTCCTGCGTCTCTAAGGGGTTTTGACAAAGAGCCTCGATGTTGGGCTACTAGAAACCTTCTGATGAAGAAATAGCAGCGTTAACTATAATTATCATGGCTTCAATATTTTTTTTTATTAATCTTTGTTGGGATGTCGTTGCCTCATGATGCCCTGTTAATTTCTGCTCTGCGGCAAGCTGAGTCAGCCGTCTGTATACATGGATCATCCCTTCTATGCTTCTCTTCCCATTAGGCCGTTACAGAGCTTTCAGTAGGGTTCCCTGAGGTACCCAGTAGGTGCTCATTACGTATCTATTTCGCACAGAGTATCAGTAGTGGATGTGTCTCAATCCGAATCTCGCAAATTCATCCCACCTCCACTCCCCACCTTAGTGTCGACATGGATGTCCCCCACGTCTGTACCACGCCTTCGCCTTGCCTGAACATCGGACCTACAGGCAACCATCCGCACTGTCCCGTTCACATTTTGGCCCCGAATCGCCTCCTCCTTGTCGAGAAAGGGCCAGCCCCGCCTGCTGTTTCCTCGCTTGCCTGCTGCTTTTCAGCCTTTTGAGCTTTAGTCCCCGCCTTAAAAAACCCTGTCGTGAGCTTACGGAAGAATCCTCCCATTTCCTGCCGTCAACGTGGTCTCCCCGTGGGAGGCTACCATCTTGCTTTTGTATCATGACCAGCCGCTCGTCATTCCGTCTCCCTCTTTCCTGCGTCAGGATCAGACCCTTGGCCTAACCCTTATCTCTTTCAAACTCTTTCATCCCCTACCTCTTATGTGAATTTCCGGCTTTTTGCTACCCAGACAACTGGTATATCCTGTGTTCCAGTCACCTGCATGGCAGATGTTCTATTTCTTGTCCCCTCAGGGTGCCCTGAATATTCTCAGAGCGTTGCAGCCTTCATTTCTCTATAATCATGTAGCTACACGTGAAAGGGTGGGTTAATGGCGCCCCAGGTCAAGAGAAAAATGTCACCTACGGGACTTCCCTGGTGATCCAGTGGTTAAGACTCTGAGCGTCCAATGCAGGCGGCTCGGGTTCACTCCCTGGTGGGGGAGCTAGATTCCCCATGCCCGCAACTTAAAGATCCTGCATGCCGCAAGGAAGACCCACGGTAACCAACTAAATAATTGGAGAAGGAGATGGCAACCCACTCCAGTCTTCTTACCTGGAAAATCCCACGGACAGAGGAGCGTGGTGGGCTACGGTCCGTGGGGTCGCAAAGAGTTGGGCACAACTGAGCGACTTCACTTTAACTTTCAACCAAATAAATAAGAGGTGAAAATAGTGTTTAACTGTCACCTGTTGCCTCCTCCTCCCCGCTAAGAGCCCTGCTGTGACAGTTACCCCAATCCCCTCTCCCCGTGTTCATTGCTGGGGGCATGCAACCCCTAGCTGCGTGCCAGGTGAGCCCCTAACACACGTGAGGGCCTTGTCCTCTCAATGATCAGTCCTGCTGCCTCTGCGTGGTGGGAGGCAGGGGTCAGACTGTGTACCCTGTCTTCTGTACTTCCCCTTCTCAGAGCTGGAGCTCTTCAAGCGTTCTGGTCTGCGGGGAGCAGTCTGCCCGCCGCAGCAGTAGGACTTGATTTAGGGGCTCATCTTCCTCATTGGAAAAGACCCTGATGCTGGGAAAGGTTGAGGGCAGGAGGAAACGGGGACGACAGAGGATGAGGTGGTTGGATGGCATCACCGACTCGATGGACATGAGTTTGCGTGGACTCTGGGAGCTGGTGATGGACTGGGAGGCCTGGCGTGCTTCGGTCCATGGGGTCGCAAAGAGTCGGACACAAATTCGCGATTAGACGACAAACCCCCTGTGCAGTATCACCCCCTCCCTCCAGTGAGAGGCAGGGGCAGCTCCTGGGTGGATGTGGAAACTGGTGCTGCTGATGAGACTGGGCATAAGGAATTTCCGGGCAGTCCAGTGCTTTCACTGCCAGGGCTCTCTGGTTCAATCCCTGGTCGAGCAACTAAGATCTTGCAAGCTGTCCGGCACAGCTATAAAAAGTGGGGGGGAAAAAAAAAACAGTGGGAAAAAAGAAAGCAAGATGCAGCGACTCGCACACAAGGCAGTGCTCTTGACATGACATGAAGCATCAGTCCCCGTGTTGCTTGTCAAATATGGTCCTTTTTGGGCTTCCCACCTGGCGCCTGCTAAAGAACCCGCCTGCCAGTGCAGCAGACTCAGGAGACTCGAGTTCGATCCCTGGGTCGGGAAGATCCCCTGGAGGAGGACATGGCAACCCACTCCCGTATTCGTGCCTGGAGAATCCCGTGGACAGAGGGGCCTGGCGGGCCGCGCAGTTCATGGGACCGCAGAGAGTTGGACATGACTGAAAGCTGAGTGTGTGGGTCCCCTCGTCCTATTATTTTACCATTGGTTTTAGTTATTAGCAATCGTGTGGGTTTTCCTCTTTTTTTTTTCTTTTTTTTTTAACATTCTTGGGAGTGTTTCAGGGGGAAATTAGAACAGCGTGTTGGGAATTCCTGTGCAGATGGCACTGACTTCTAGAGCAGAAATTCCCAACTCCCTGCGGCAAAGCTCCGTCTTCCCCAATCTGCCACAACCTGCTGCCATTGAGAACAGAATCAAAAGAGAAGAAAAAAAATGCATTCGAGAAACATGCAAGGGACTTCTGCTTGACAATGCAAGGGGTATGGGTTTCATCCCTGGTTGGGGAGGTAAGATCCCACGCGCCTCTTGGCCAAAAAGCCAAAGCAGAAAGCAGAAACAGTATTGTAACAAAGTCAATAAAGACTTTTAAAAGATGGCCCGCATTAAAAAAAAAAATGTTAAAAAAAAGAAACATGCAAAAAGTAAGTGCCTAATGTTGCTTTTTTTTTTTTTAAATCCCTGGGCTCAGCTGACATTCAACCACTATTGATTTTTTTTTTTTTCCTAATTTCTAAATGCATACAGTAAAGAGTCTGCCTGCAATGCAGGAGATGTGTCCTGCTCTTTGCAATTGTGTGGACTGTAGCTCACCAGGCTTCCTCTTTCCATGGGGATTCTCCAGGCAAGCATACTGCAGTGCGTTGCCATTAGCTCCTCCAGGGGATCTTCCCCACCCAGGGGTCAACCCGGGGTCTCCTAGAGAATCCCCGGGGACTGTAGCTCACCAGGCTTCCTCTGTCCATGGGGACACGACTGAACGACTGACACTTTGACTTTTCAAATGCATCCTCACTTCTCCAGGGTGTCTTCTGGCGGAGGGCTCACCCACAGTCCGCGGGATGGCGACCGTGCTGAGTAACCGATCCTGGGCTACGCCCACCCCTTACGCACACTCCCTTTGTTGGTTTTTTTTTTTTTAGGGAAAGCATTGAAAACACACCCTCCCTTGTCCTCAGGGGCGGGGTGACTTGGCACACACAGCTTCCTCTGTCTGTACTCAAGAGTGCCCTAACGTGTCCCTTCTGAGTGAAGGCTGACTGGACTGTAGCGTGTGTGGTGGGGTGAAAGCTCACCTTGCTTCTTTGTCTTTCTGCAGTGGAATTTCTGTACTGCGACCTGGCGTCCATGAGGTCTATCCGGCAGTTCGTCCAGACGTTCAAGATGAAGAAACTCCCCCTCCACGTCCTGGTGAATAACGGTGAGTTACGCAAGTCTGTTCATTGCGTCTGCATCTCCGTTTCTTGCCTGCAAATAGATTCTTCAGTACCGTTTTTCTGGATTCCATGTACATGCGTTAATGTATAATATTTGTTTTACCCTTTCAGACTTTCTTTGCTCTCTGTAACAGACCCTAGGTTTGTCCACATCACTACAGCTGAGTCAGTTCCATTGCTTTTCCTGACTGAATGATATGTCCCCAGTTCTTCACTCTGAATGAGAGCCTGATGATCTAGAGGGTGGAATGGCGTGGGGTGGGGGTAGGCTCAGGAGCGATGTAGGTTTAATTATGTCTGATTCATGGTGTTTACAGGGAAAAAGCAACATCGTAAACTAGTTTTCCTCCAAGTAAACAGTAAATGTTTTTGCCAGCAAAGGTCCATCTAGTCAAAGCTATGGTTTTTCCAATAATAATGTATGGATGTGAGAGTTGGACCATCAAGAAAGCTGAGCACTGAAGAATTGATGCTTTTGAACTGCGGTGCTGGAGGAGACTCTTGAGAGTCCCTTAGACTGCAAGGAGATCCAACCAGTCCATCCTAAAGGAGGTCAGTCCTGGGTGTTCATTGGAAGGACTCATGTTGAAGCTGAAACTCCAGTCCTTTGGCCACCTGATGGGAAGAGCTGACTCATTTGAAAAGACCTGATGCTGGGAAAGATTGAGGGCGGGAGGAGAAGGGGACGACAGAGGATGAGATGGTTGGATGGCATCACTGACTTGCTGGATATGAGTTTAGGCAAGCTCCGGGAGTTGGTGACGGACAGGGAGGCCTGGCGTGCTGCAGACCATGGGGTCGCAAAGAGTCAGGAATGACGGAGCAAGTGAACCGAACTGAACTGAAACAATAAATTGAGAACATAATGGTGACGTCTGGTGAACTCCAGAGGTTAATTCAGGCACGGACAGGCGCTCTGGCAGTCCTTGGGGAAAGCGGCATTACCATGGAAGTGTAGTTTCAGCTATTGCCGAAGCTTTGTTCGACTGATGTGTTTGGCTTTCGCTGTCGGGATAATCAGGTTTAGGGTGTTGCTTTGAAATGATGTTAACTGTGCTCAGGGCTTCCCTGTGGCTCAGACGGTAAAGAATCCGCCTGCAATGCAGGAGACCTGGGTTCCATCCCTGGGTCGGGAAGATCCCCTGGAGGAGGAAATGGCAACCCACTCCAGTGTTCTTGCCTGGAGAATCCCATGGACAGGCGTGTCTGACTCTTTATGACCCCGTGGACTGCAGCCCACCAGGCTTCTCGGTCCAGGGAATTCTCCAGGCAAGGATATCAGAATGGGCTGCCATTTCCTTCTCCTCTATGCCTGTGAGTCTGCTTCTGTTTCATAACTAAGTTCAATTGTATCATTTCTTTTTAGACTCTGCATCAAAGTGATATCATATGGTATTTCTCATGCTCTGTCTGACTAACTTCACCCCGTATGACAATCTGGAGGTTCAGTGGCATTCTTTCATCCTTTTTCATGGCTGAGTAACATTCCACTGTACATATGTACCACATCTTATTTATCTATTCCTCTGTCGATGGACATTTCGATCAAGGCACAACTCTAAAGGGAACGATTACTGGGAATATTCTGAGTCAGCAGCTGCAAACCCATTTCCTGACTCCACGAGTTCTCGGACCAAGACCCTGTCCATGGTACGGATGGTGTCCAGTAGAGTCCGCTGAGTTTACCAAAGCTATGTGCCAAGGAACATCCTCTGGGGTAGTAACTCCTCCTGGCAAGGTGATTGGTTCAAAGGAGCTGGATTCAGACTCCCTTGGTGGTCCAGGGGTTAACACTCCCCACCCGCCGCCAATGCTGAGGACGCAGGTTTGATCCCTGGTCTGGGGAAATTTCACATGCCCCGGAGCAACTACGCCCGTGTGCTACGGTTACGGAAGCCCTTACACCCTAGAGCCTGCGCTCCGCAACAGAGGGGCCACCGCAGTGATAAGCCTGAGCACTGCAGCTCGGGAGTGGCCCCTGCTCACTGCAGCTAGAGAAAGCCAAGCAGCAACAAAAACCCTGTGCAGCGAAAAATAAATAAATGAAATTAAAAGAAGGGTGGAGGGGCTTGGGTTCCTAGGACCAGCTCCTGGTAAACCAACCCAGGCATCAGCTCTCATGGAGACCACCCCCAGCTGAGTCCCACAGAAAATGTGTCCAGGGGTCACGGCTACCTAGTGGTACTCGCTAGCTTTGCATTTTTTTATTTAATTAAATGTTTTTATTACCATTCTTGATGGAGACCACTTTTCTAGTCTTTATCGAATTTGTTACAGTATTGCTTCTGCACCATCTGTCAGAGGAAAGTTTCATGTTCTAAAGAAAGCAGTTATATTCTGTAGCTGTAAATTATGTCAATAAAAGTGCTGAAGTGAAAGTCGCTCAGTTGTGTCTGACTCTTTGCGACCCCCGTGGACTATAGAGTCTGTGGAATTCTCCAGGCCAGAATACTGGAGTGGGTAGCCTTTCCCTTCTCCAGGGGAATCTTCCAAACCCAGGGATCGAACCCAGGTCTCCTGCATTGCAGGCAGATTCTTTACCCACCGAGCTACCAGGGAAGCCCAGACTACCAGGAAAGTCCCTAAAGTTTATTATTAAAGAGAACAATCATCGGGATTTTGCAGATGTTCGGCCTTCCAGTCGGGGAATATTTGTGCATGCGTTTGCATGACACAGATGGAACGAGACTGCCTCTCTCCACCGGTGAGGGAACTCGTGATGGAGGCTGGGGCTTCGTCCACCCCGAGAATGATTCATAGTGGGCGTCCTGCAGAGCCGGTCAATATTTGTCATTTATTCCCATTCAAACTTGATGGATCGCGTTTCCCGTCCTTGTGCCAGAACTTGGACAGGTTTGTGCTCACCGCTCAGAATTTATGGTCTGTCCTTGTCGGAATACTTCCCGTCTCTCTTTTAGATGGATTTCCCAACATCAAGGATTACTAAAAATTATGTGTCCCCACCCTCCCAGCCTCCCTGCCGAATAAATGTGTCAGGGGTAACCCTGAGAAAGGACAAAGATGGCTTGCCTGGCCAGATACACGTTAACCCAGTTTTCACTGTAGGTCTTCATTTGTTTAGGAACTCAGAGCATAAATCGGCTCGCGGACCAAGGACCATTCGAGCTGGGCTTCCGGGCACTGACCACAGGGGCCTTGATGTCCAGAGCAGTCAGGAAAGCGGGGAGTGGGGTCCGATTCTTGGGGAGCAAGTGCCCAAATGTCATTTGGTTGCTCAGGCGTGTCCGACTCTCTTGCGACCCCATGGACGGTAGCCCACCAGGCCCCTCTGTCCATGGGATTTTCCAGGCAAGGATACTGGAGTGGGTTGCCATTTCCTCCTCCAGGGGATCTTCCTGACCCAGGGACTGGACCCACGTCGTTTACATCTCCTGCATTGGCAGGTGGGTTCCTCACCACTGAGCCACCTGGAAAGCCAGGTAGGTTTAGTCGTGAGTGGGGACCCTGGGAATTTTGAGCCCAACATTCAGGGCGCTGCCGTCTGCACCTGGCTTCCCCAGTGGATGAATCCCCAAGGGGATGGTCTGACCGCATCCAGAACACGGCGGGGTGTTCGGCTGCAGGCACGACAGTGATACCCGGCCACTGCTGTAAAAATATATTTCTGCCCGCAGTGCTCTTGCCCAGGGCTTGCTCAGATGACCCTTGAAGATCTCCCAGGTCACCTTGAACTCGCCCTGTGCCTGGAGCCTCCTCGCTGTCGACTGGAGTCAGAGAGTTTCTGCTCGCATCTGTCAGCAGAGCTTGTGTGCGGAGACCATCCAAGCTGGCACACCCCTCGGGCTGCACGGGACCTGTCTTGTCCGTGATCGCTGGGAAACGCATAATCCGAACGGAGTGAGTGAATAGGTCCAGCCTTGAGGAGATGGCCCAGGGGGGCGTCCTTCAGCTCAGATCACCGTGCACCTGACCGCAAGTGCCCCTGCAAAAAAACAAAAACAAAAACACGAATGAGTCCAGTGGGTCTGTCCGGTGGCCTTACCTCCAGAGCCCATCATCTTCACCGAGGTCTGGCTGACCACACTCTCCTGGGTGTTTTCTCTGCTGCCAACGTCCAAGAAATCAAAAACCATTTTCCCCTCAGCTTCGTGAACAGGGATGGAACCCAGACCCCTTGCATTGCAAGTGCGGACTCCGAACCACTTGACCATGATGAAAGTCCCCCCAAACCGTCTTGAGGATGTGAGAATCAGCATCAGCTTTTTTTTTTAATAACCTGGTCTTCAACTCTGCAGGCTGAAGCCTTGGAAACACCTTCAAATTCAACCCGCAATTCCTGCCGACCCCCGTGTCCCCCTTTCCAGCGCCCCTGCTCCATGAGGCGGTGTGTTTTCCAACGGATGCCGATACAGGGAAGGGCCTTCCTGGTGGGTCCGTGGTCAAGAATCTGCCAGCTAAGCAGGAGGTGCAGATTCGATCCCTGGGTCGGGAAGATCCCCTGGAGGAGGAAATGGCAGCCCACTCCTGTATTCTTGCCTGGAGAATCCCATGGACGGAGGAGCCTGGCGGACTGCAGTCCATGGGGTTGCAAAGAGTCAGACACAAATAAATGACTAAGCGCAGCGAAGCACAACAGGTTCGTAAATACCTGCCTTCTTGTTAATAATCATCTTTAATGAAGTGCAGTGGGTGTACAGTCTTATATGTTGCAGGTGTGCAATATGAAAGTGAAGCTGTGGGTCACGCAACTGTGCCTGACTCTTTCTGACCCCATGGAGTGTAGCCCACCAGGCTCCTGTGTCCCTGGGATTCCCCAGGTCAGAATACAGGGGTGGGTCGCCATCTCCTCCTCCAGGGGATCTTCCTGACCCAGGGATGGTACGCGGGTCTGCTGCGTTGCAGGCCGACTCTTTCCCGGCTGAGCCACAGCGTAGAGGGCAGTGATCCACAACTGCTAAGCTTGTACTCCGTGGACAGTCATTATATAACGTCGGCTAAGTTCCCTGTTGTGTACAATATATCC